GACGCAGCCAGAACCTTCTTGTGTTTCGGATGCCTTGGCTCACTTTATCATTCATCATGTACAATCTCGATCGACCGAGAGATTCACTCTACTATCAGCGAGAGATTGGAGTGCGCAGCCATAGCCTACAAACGACGCAAAGGAAAACGAGTACGTTCTCATAAGCAATCGAGTCCCACCCGTGGCCTGCCCCGATCTCCATTGCCTGATGATTCTTTTACGCATGGCCCCATTCAGCTTGCACGATTTGGAAACGTAGTTACACTCCGCAACACAATGACTGATGAGCAGCATGCAGAGTTTATGAAATCTGCTGCCGATGAATACCCAAGGATCTGCCAAGAAATTGGGGACCTTGTCAAGAAAGCAATAGCGATAGTCAAAATAGTTGACCCTCTTGATCTGCTCCGTAAAGGATATTGGGGGGTATTTGAATCTCATTCTGAAATTGGTCCTGAAGAAAGCAGTATCGAAACTGAACAGGTTGTTTCTCGTGAAATGATTAATTACGTACTAAGACTTGTTGCTGGTGTCGGATCTGATACAGCTAATACCCCGGCGACTGAAGAACAGTTTGAATCACTACAAGAGATAGTTAAGGCATTGTACGAAATCTTTAACGGGCCATATCGCTTAGCAAGGACCGCATTTCACAAGCAAAGAACAGACTACGATGAAGATTTTGACGAGTTTGTCAGCCGCGCTGAAATGCTATGGATGTTCGTTCAAGGTGATCGTCATCAATATCATGATTCAATACACATTTCAGATCTGTTGGTTGAGCATGAACAGCAGCTAATTCAAACATGGGGTGTTTCAGTTGAAGATGTCGTCAGAGGAGTAAAAGCAATCCAGCACTCGCTGACTCTCGGATTGGGTGAATCTTTAAATCACCTTCACCAACTTCATGAAGAGTTTATAAGGCTATCTGACAATCACCCAGAAAAGGGAATTGACGAACTAATTCGAGAAATGAAATTAAACAGTGATGAAGCTGATCTACACGCCCAAGAATGCTTTGCGGGCTACGGACTCTTTGATGTCAAATCTCTCACTAAGTGGCCAGATTGCTTTATCGATGAGCTTTCAATCAGCCCCGGCCAGGATACAAAATTTGCAGAACATGAGCAAAGAGGAGGTTGGCCAAATCAACCATCTCTTTGTTTTGATTATCCATTCCTGAAAATCCGTGGTAAGTCCTATGTTTTTAACCAATCGCTCTGCATGGATGTCCTATACAGGTCCATTCAGCGCGCTTTGTGTAAATCAAACTCAAAACTGGCTGAACAATGGAATCAACGCCAAAAACGAACCAGTGAAAATCTGGCATTGAATCTACTACAGAATGCATTGCCAAACAGCCAAAGATTTGATTCCGTTCACTATCAGTATCTGGATACTGAGACCGGAAACATGAAATGGGCTGAGTGTGACGGATTGGTTATACACGACAACAACCTGATTGTTGTTGAAGTTAAAGCAGGAGCCTTCACATCGAAATCGCCTTCAATCCATTACAAATCGCATGTGGCAGATCTACGAAAGCTCATCAAAGAACCAGTTGTTCAGGGAAGACGCTTTGTAAACACCCTACAGATTCAATCTTTGATAGCAATTTGTGATGAGCGCCACAACATCATTGATAAGCTCGCAAACAACTTTGACACGATCTCAATAATCTGTGTCACACTTGATCAACTCACAGATCATTCGCCTCAAATTGAACACCTTCGAACCGTTGGAATTGACGCTTCCAAATTTCCAGTTTGGCCTGTATCGATCGATGATCTCCGTGTTGTGACCGAAATATTCAACAGCCCCATTCGATTTATGCACTTTCTCCAAGAAAGGAATCGTGCCTTTTCATCTTCTTCAGTGAAGATTGGGGATGAGCTAGATCATGCCGGTGCATATATGACACACAACCGATACGCAGACTTTGCTGAAGGCTTTCCGGAACAATCCCTTAGTGGGTGGGGTGGGTATAGAGACAAAATTGATCAATTTTACTTTGACAAGTTTATGGCTATAGATCAGCCTCGTCATCCGATTCAAAAATTACCCGTTCAATTAGAAGCCATCCTAAAAACTCTAACTGAACAGATGAAGCCAGGGTATATATCTGTCGGCAAGCGGCTTCTTGATGGCTCTGAAGATTCTCGCCAGCAGGTTTGCTCAATGATTGACGAAATGCGATCTCTCCAATCTATACAAAAGAGACCAAGGCCGCTCTCCGCACTCGGTGGATGGCCTCTAACCATATTTGCAAATACAAAAGATGTATACATGGTAGCTATCGCCGATGCTCGCTTGCATGCCAGTGCTGATCTTCAACTCCAAGGTGAAACTGAGCGTTTACTGCTCGTTCTAGATTTTGGTACCACAGGTGAACTATTGAATGTAGATTTTGAACTCCTCACGCCAGCAATAGTGAAAGACATCCCTGAAATTGAGCTACGTCCCATTCGGCATAGACTTTTCCAATCTAGATCTAAACTCAAAGACTCTGGAAACCATAAGGCTTAACCAGAATCGAATGTTCAAATTTGATCTCAGGGCATTTCATTATCTCAACCACACCTGATGCATTCGAAAATTCCCATGACTTAGCGGGTCAGAAAGTGGGCCAGAGCGGGTCAACCCCTCATTTTTCCAATAGCCTCGCTCCATCACAAACGCCGCCTACAACATGCAATCAGTGGTGAAACTGTGCGTTACCCTCTTCAGATACTCAAGACTGAAAGCAAGGCGTGATTCATTTTTCAACCATCTTGATTTCTATCCTCGCCCAAATTTTTTGTGCAACTCAGACCCTTGCCCGTACGACCGATGCCGCTCATCAGCCCGATTCAGACATCGAAAGCACATCAGGCCACTATACCACCGACGCTGCAACCCGCAAGGCGATCGACAAACGCATTGCTGCTGTCAAAGCCGCAAACACCATTCGAGACGGGTTTGCAGACAACCAAGGTAATCTCTGGTTCTCATCGAACAATGGGGTACATCGCTTCGATGGCGATTCCTTTATGGACTTCACCACAAAGGACGGCTTGAGCGACAACCAAGTCACTTCCATCATGCAAGATAACGAGGGAAACATGTGGTTCGGGATGCCCGATGGCATGTGCCGATACGACGGCGAGAGTTTCGTCCATGTTCCGGTCCATTACACAGAGATATCAACTAGCTGGCTCGACACCGTCTACCCCGTCGTCAACCCCAACCAGGTCACGAGCATGCTCCAAGACCACAACGGAAGTTTCTGGATCGGCACCAACGGCGCTGGTGTGTACCACTATGACGGGGAAACATTCACCAGTTATCTCGCCGACCGAGGTCAAATATTCACCGATGGGCTTTATCACAATGTTGTCCTCGAACTGACACAAGACACCAAGGGCAATATCTGGTTCACCTCGCTTACCCGTGGTGGCGCAGTCAGCCGGTACGACGGCACGAGCATGAAGCACTTCACCATTGAAGACGGCCTCAGTGATTTCACAACCCGATCGATCTATGCAGATAAATCGGGCAATGTCTGGATCGGGAGCAATGGGAACCGAAATGGCGGGCTCGATCGTTTCGACGGCAAAGCTTTCACCAACTTTCATACCGCCGATGGCCTGAGCGGCACAAGCATCTCCGCAATCTTCGAGGACTCCACTGGCAGACTCTGGGTAGGCATTATCAACGGAGATCTGTGCACATTCGATGGAGAGCGTTTCACCCCAATCACGGATAAACAAGGGAACACCTTCCAATCTGTCAGCTTCATCATCGAAGACCAAGATTCAAATATCTGGTTCGGCGGCGCTCACGGCCAACTCTTCCGCTTCAACGGTAAAGACATCACGGACTTCTCCCAGATGGTTCAGTAGACTCAACGAAAACAAATCGAGCGGATCAACAAACGGGTCAAAGCGGGTCAATCTCAAAATCACCAACTCCATCACTCCATCAAAAAACGCCCTTAGCATGATGCCAAAGGCGTTTTCTTGAAGTGGAGACGAAGAGATTTGAACTCTCGACCTCTTGCATGCCATGCAATGCACGAACCCGTTTATCTGCGTTTGCAGGCCGCTATTGAGGATTCGGAGGGACTGTGATGGACTGGTTTAGACCCAAAGCGGGTCAGCAAGCGGGTCTATGAGAAGCAAGTCCAAGCCGCCAACTCCATTGCCTTACCAATCCGTGATCAAGTTCATCTACTTGTTGCGAAACTGATCCAAGTCTAGATCAGTGTGCTCCTAGTACAATAACCGCTAGGAGGGCACACACTATGCCTGGAATTGTGATTGAAAATCAAATATTCATTGGGGTCCCATGGAGGGGTGTCATGCCCAAATTCGAGGAAGTCCTTACCCAACTCATTGACGATTACCCTGTACACTGTGTGATCTTTGGTCGCACTACAGGCATTCAGGCTAATGAACTGTGGCAAAGCATTAAAACTGAGATCACTCGCAGTGCGGCTACGATCTTTGACGCTACCGGATCCAATCCAAATGTTGCACTTGAGTTTGGATATGCTGAAGCACTAGGCAAGCATCGTGTCCTCACCAGGTGTGAGGCTGCCCCAAGACGCCGAAAGAAGTCTTCATCAAGATCATTAACCTCCCAATCTATAATGAGTGATCTCGCTGGTCACATCAGAGCACCCTACAAAACAACTCGAACACTAAAGCCGATTGTTCGAGAAGTCTTCGAAACTAATCCGTATGTTGCCAGATACCAACGTGTATCAAATGCTGCACGTTGGGGAAAGCGCAAGAAAAAAGTAGCGATTGGGCTAGTCAAGCATTTGGCATCTGGCGTGAAGATGTCCAAACCTGATCTTGTTTTGGCGGTAGAAGCAGAATTCCCGACATACAACACCGTTGACGTTCCAGGACTTATTGATGACATGAAAAATAATGGTTTGTTGATAGTGAAGCGAGGTCCTCACGGAGGCGTTTCCATTCCCGTCATATAAATCACACAATGCGATCCCATTAGGCTTATTCTAGTTCCCGAATCAAGTTTTCTTGACTCCAAACACGCTCTGCAAGATGCAGATAAAGCTCTTGCCTTGCATCAAGATCTGCTTTCTTGAACTCCGAATGTGCTTTGAACTCAAGCCCTGAGTCACTGATGAACCCTTTGAAACCTGGATCATTCTCATAAGCACGACGATGCAAACTCTGAGCGAGCAGATTCTGTTTCAGATAATGCTCCAGCTTGTGGCTGTATGGCTTATCGCCATAGCTTGCATTGAAGCTCTTCGGTAGTAGTAGAAGGCCGCCTATTCTGTTTCTGTATTCACTGAAGTCTGATGGATGACTGAACTCGTCTGTGTGTCTATCTGCGTGATTTGCCCAAATGTGTTCGACCTCATAACCATTTTTGCCTTTGCGACTCATGTACTCTGCATACCGTGATGAACGCCCAGACGATGTCTCTGCAAAGTCTGTCATCCGAGCAAGCAATCGGTGAATGTGCTTCTTGTTCATGCCCGTTAGGCGGAATCGATCATTTGACTCGAACTTGAACTCGTCTTCATCAAGTCGATGAGTCAACATCTTGACAAGATTTTCGGACGACTGACCCCGTATCTCTTTGATGACTACAAACATGTTGTATTGCATGTTTGAGTATGAGGTCGTTTTCCAGTTCCACAAGCGCCGAGCGATAACGATGTCAAGGTAGCCTGAAACAATCCGTATTTTTCGTAGTATCTCTTGCTCTGAGTCACCTCTTTTCAGAGGAGCGAGAAGCACAGGATACTGGAGCGTGAAGTTGTTCTGTGCGTTGTAGTAAACCGCTTCCATTCCCGCAGTCAATGTCTCTGAAGCATTACGAATCTTCGTATGCCACTTCGCGTAGAACGCAAAATCTTCTTCAATGAACCGAGCAAAGTCAGCGGAGCCCGCTAGGCCCAGCGTTTCTTCGTGGTCTCGTACCCATCGATGGAACTCGGTTCCAATGAGATCAAAATCTCTAGGTTTTGCCCCTTTCTTTCGCTCACGTGTACTTTGAGCATGTTGACTACGTAGCCACGCCTTGATTGCATCCGCATCCTCCTCTTTACCGATCTCTTGCAAATTCGAGATGTGTTCACGCCATACCTTGCTCGCTAGATTACGCTTGTCTGCATTCGTGATGTTTGCGAGCAGATAGCCTTTGAGCATGTCTGTAGGCGTCAGAGATAGCCCACGGTCGTTCATCGTCTCGAAGATCGTGTAAGCGTCTGCATCGGAGTACGCTGTGATTTCTACTAGATGTACATTCTCGATAAACCAATCAGCAAAATATGGAAGTGCATCTCCCATGAGGCTTTCAGGAAAGAACTCTTCAATATCGTGGAATCGGTTAAGGATATTTGTTACAGATTCTGGCTGTCCATCTTCATCAAACGGATCGCCTTTGAATAGCGCCTCCATACATGGAGTCCGCTCGGGAACATCAAGGTTGAACGAACGATTCCCACGCTTGAGCGAGTAGATAAGCTTGGCTAACTGACCCTTTTGCTCATCGTCTTCCAAGTTTCGATAGACATGGATGAGAATGAGTGTCAGCGAGGTGAGGCGCTGTTGTCCATCAATGATGTACTTGTGCCCCTCTTTGTCACTGATGATTATCGATCCAAGGAAATAGTGCCCATACCGCTCAACTGCTGAGCGCTCATTCCCCTCTTCGTGACTCTCCTCAAACTTTTCGGTGAGATCATTGAGTAGCTCAACAATCTGCTTGCGCTCCCACCGGTATTCACGCTGGTAGTAATCGATGGCATAGCGAGCATTACTCAACAGTTTGTCAATATTTTTTGCATCACCACGAATTTCCTTCATCTGACTGATCCCCTTTGAGTAGCTATATCACATCGTTTGTATAGCAACTGAACCATCTATCATGCATTTTCACACATTGAACCTAACCCTGCGAAGGGAGTCGTTCGACTAGAGTACGGCACTATCTGTGGTATTTAGAAATTCTTTCGGTGCCACGATGCGGTTCAATAGCCTATCCCACCACTGAATCGATCATTCTTGAAATCGATTCACGCTCATAGCCATCATCTCTACCCCGTTCTCCTGGTTGCTCATGCCTCTCAGCTTGAATAGCTCTCCAGTGGGGCTGTTGGGCTACTGGCCATTTTTTAGCCCTACAAGCAGGTTTTTGAGGCTTTATGGATAATTTTTTATACTTTACCATTGTGATTGCACGATACCATTGATACTGTTAGCGTGCAAAACCATGGGTAGCGTATGACATCATTGAACTCCCAAATCGAAAGCTATCTTCAGAAGACACTGTCAACACAAGTGGCGCTTATCGAATGGGAGAGCGCCACCCGACTGCCTCCTGTGTTGAATCATCGCTTTCGCTTTTTCCAAGCGGAACTGCTCAATCGGGCAGTCCTATTGATCGTCGACGATGACCCAGACGAACAACCACCAGGAACAATCAGAAAACAGATTGAAAAGGTAAGGGAGAGATGGGGTGGGGTAGTTGTTTACGTCAGAGAGCAAATCTCTAGCTACAACAGGAGTAGATTGATTCAGCAACAGGTGTCATTTCTGGTTCCTGGTACCCAGCTATTCATCCCCGAACTGGCTACAGATCTCCGAGAGAACTACCAGAGAGTTCCTAAGCAAAACCTCTCGGTATTTAGTCCATCAGCCCAGGCTGTCTTCATTTTCGCATTACTGCGTGATTCAAACGAACCGCTGACAAGTTCAGAAGTTTCACCAGCACTTGGGTATAGCCCCATGACACTCAGTAGAGCATTCGACGCTATTGAAGCCGCCGATTTGTGTGTCTCTGAGATAATGGGGAAATCACGGTATTTACACTTCAAATTTCCCAAGTATAAAACATGGTCACGGGCACAAGAGTTTCTCAAATCTCCGGTCAAGAGCCGTCGCTACATGCATCCCGATTTACAAAGACGATTCGGACTCTATGCTGGATTGAGCGCACTTGAACGTTTCAGCATGATTGCAGGGCCAAGAAATCCAACCATTGCTGTAAGCAGGGAGCAATGGAAAGTCTATCGACTTGAAGAATCTACGTATTCTGATGAGTTGAGAGACCCGGATTTGACTGAAGTCGAGGTATGGAGCTATCCACCATTGGAGTTCCGAGACAGCCAATCAGTAGACCCCCTATCACTCTACTTGTCATTTGAATCGCAGAAAGATGACAGAACTGAGTACGCACTTGAAGAGATGATGAGAAAACTGCCATGGTAAAAGGCCTTGAGATTTTTCGTGACCACTTTGCCAATCACAAAGATGCCTACATCCTAATTGGCGGGACTGCCTGTGATTTGGCAATGACTGATTTTGGTATTGAGTTTAGAGCTACAAGAGATCTGGATATTGTCCTCTCCATGGAAGTGCTGGATGAGTCGTTTGGCAAAGTATTCTGGGAGTTAATTCAATCTGGCGGATACGAGATTAAGGAGCAAGACACGACTCAACGATGCTTTTATCGATTCAAAAGACCATCGAACAAGGAGTATCCAGCAGAATTGGAACTCTTCTCCAGAGTCCCCGATACTTTGAAAATCAGTGATGATTCAACCCTTACTCCAATCCCGATGGGCGATGACGTCTCAAGCCTATCAGCTATTTTGTTGGATGATGACTACTACGACTGGATCCACCAGGGCAAAATTGAAATAGAAGGCATATCTACAATTGGAGCCGCTCACCTAATCCCACTCAAAGCAAAGGCGTGGCTTGACCTCAGAGACCGAAACCAAAGCGGCGATCATGTTGATAGTCGGAAAATCAATAAGCACAAAAATGATGTGTTCCGATTACTCTCCATCATTGATCCAGACAACTCGTTTGAACTGACTGAATCGATTTATTCCGATATGTCTTTGTATATCGATGAAGTTCAGAATGAGCAAGTTGACCTCAAGAGTCTCGGCTTAGGCAAAATGACAATGGCAGACGCCATTGAAACCACAAAGAAGCTGTACCGAATTGGCTAAACAGCGGTGATATTGCCTGCTAGTTTGTAGATCCGGCTCTGTCCACCGCCTCTACCTGAGTAGTCTGGAATCTGATACTCAACAATCTGAGCCAGCTTGTTTCTGCGTATCCATCTCATCACTGCCTTGAACTTCTTGTCATCATCCATTTTCGTGCCAAAGAACTTCAGCATCTCTTTACACTGCTTCTTCCCCCAAGTACCTGTCTTGTCTATCCGTTTCTCAAGCTCATACAGCATGCATGCGTAGACCTGGACCAGTTCTTCTACTTTGATCCGATTCAGATTTCTGATCGTGTTTGGAGTGAATCCTTTGGCTTGGTATACACGCTTTCTCATCGCTTGATCATGCCCAAGATCTGCTAGCAACCCATTCTGTTCTATACATCTTCTGATCGTTTGCGCTGCTTGTGGCATGTAGCTCTCGGCGCTGGTCCTTGCCTTCTTCGGATCGAATGTCTTTGAATGAAACTTGTGAGCATCCTTTAGGCATCTCTCATCAGAGTTTCCGATGTTGAGCCCCGCTTTGATATACGCTTCAGTTGTTTGCTCTAGCGTGGGCAGCCTTTGATGCTGGTTAAAAAAAACTCTGAAATAGTTACTCGTGAACTGTGTCGCTCTCTTGAAAGTGTCTTCTTCTACCCCCACTTCATGCGCTAAAATCGGGTTCTCTATCGAAATACACTCCCATACATTTGTATCTACACCTTCGGTGTCTAAGAGCAGAGGGGACTTGACCAAACTTGAGGGGGAAGAAGATGAAACCGATGGGGCGGTTTTCTTCTGCCAAGAAGAATGAGAACCATGGTCCTTGCTCCTCTTGTGTTGAGCAGCCGAATAGGCCTGAGCTTTGGATATCAAGTCGACGCACAAGGACTGATAGCTGGTGGCTGCCAAGAAGGCTTCGATTTGAGAGTCAGATTGAGGACGAGGCAACTTAGCCCATAAAGCCCCACCAGATTGAATAATCTCCCCTTTATGAGCCAGAGGAGGGCAGCCACGAATTTCGTTGCAATTCGTAGGACTATAACCGCTTATTTGACCAATCAAACCTTGAAGCTGCTCTATGTCATTCCGTATCTGCTTGTTTGTTGTATATCTAGACCATGAAATCAACAGGTACCCATGCAGGCCTGACCCCATGGTCGAAGGCTCCCAATAGACATGAGTATCCCGAAAAATGGATTGGATGAGATCACGGCATTCATACACATGCTTCATGGGTAGTTTACGATGATTGTCGATATCAAAGTGGAAGAGACCAACCCTGCGATTTCCGATGACAGGGCATCTAGCAGCGTAAGCAATCATCCTGTCAATCTCATCAGGAGCAGCAAGTAGATGTTCCTCAATATCACGCCCTTTCATCTTCCAAGAGTTCTTGAGCGAACTCATCTGGGATGACCTATTCGTCTTACGGATGTTGTAGAGTTTGATGGTTGTGGTGGGCTTACAAAGCTTGTCGCCATTCTCACTCGAGTGATAGCGGGCAAAGTACCCGTCCCAAACCATGTAGTCTGTGCGTGGTTCTTTGTTCTGTATGCCACCAATGAGCCTTCGTTTGAACTCTTGAAAGTTCTCCCGTCCATAGCGGCTATGGCATTCTTTTGTGTTCGTCATGCTCCCTCTTCTCTTGTTCTTGAACCAAGCTCAAGGGAATCAGCCTCCAGCATGGTGATGTGAATAGATTTGAAAGCCTCCATTGGCGGCGAAACCAAAAGAGGGTGATTTGTTTCCGAATGCGGCAAAGAGAAGAGGGGAGCGGTTGAACCCCGAAATCCACAAGCGGCACTTCATCACTTCGTCCAAATCCTCAAACACTCCTTCTTGATTCACTGAATGGTTTTGTGGGGCGCTTCAAAGCAGCCAATGGCGGGACGAGAAAGTACACATCAGGGACATCGCCCGCTACCCACGCAGCAAGCCCAAGTACCAAGTAGTATCCGACGAGCCGACTACACCACTGTTCCCAAGACTGGAACATCAGAATCGAACCTGTTCGCTAGATGCCGCAAGCTGAGTATGCCCTCGCTGCGTGTAGCGGCTTGTAGTTTGGATTGACTCATGCCCCAAAATCTGAGCGAGACCAACGAGATCATTGTTGTTGGCGGCAAGGAACTCAGTGGCAAACGAGTGGCGCAGGGCATGGGGATGGAGTTTGATGCCCACAGATAGGCCGTACTTCTCGACGAGGTAGCGAACCCCGTCAGTCCCGAGAGGTTTGCATCCCTGGCCGATGTAGACTCGATCGCTCTCAACGGGCGGTCGGCAGCCAAGGTATTCGAGAAGATGCCGTCTTGCTTCAGTAGGAACGGGAACGGCTCTTTCTTTGTTGTTCTTACCATGCTTGACTACGAGCATGCCTCGGCGCTCGGACAAATCGATATCACCAAGTTTGAGCATCGCAACTTCACTCAATCTCAAGCCACAGTACACGAAGAGACTCAGGATTGAAGATGCTCGTACATCCTCCCGCACGATGGCCTCTCTGATCATCCGTCGAATAGTCGTCCTATCTATCGCCTTCGGAGCAGATGGTGTTCGCCGGAGTTCCTTGACCTTCGCAGCAGGATTCTGTGTAATCACTTCTTCTTGCGCAAGAAATGAGAAGTATCTCCGCAGAGTGACTAGGCACCGATTCACCGTTGCGACAGCTTGCCCCCGCTCCTCTCGCAAATGTGTACGAAAGTCAGTGACATCACGCAGCGTCACAACACGGCTGTCATACTCATCACTGTACACTCCCTCGAAGTAACCCACCCACTTCTTGAAATCCGAGGCAAACGCCTCCTGGGTCTTTGCAGCAAAGTCATTCTCGTTCAGGAAGCGTGCAAACAGACTGCTCTCGAAATCGTTCATTGGTCATCTCCAATGCTTATCTAGCCAAAACTGGCTGCTATATGGATACACCTAGGATGATCATGCGATACATTTTGAACACGACATCCCGGCATACTGATACCTAGGTGGTGTGCATATCTGGTCACTCCACTGCCCTCATGTGTCGGAATACCTCAGCAACGAGTTCGCCTTCCCCTCGTTCGCCGATTCCGTCGGGATAACAATCTCTCAAAGCTTCTGAAACCGCTTTGGGGGTCGGATTGTCAATCCCGAGTCCCCTCAGCAAATCAATCAATCGCTCTACAATCGGATTCACTGTCTGCTTCGCAGCTTTCTTTTTGCGCGCAGATGATGAACTCCTCGAAACAGGCACCCCAACACGCTTGGGATAGAAAAACACGGGCTCTCCATTTGCTCCCAACCCTGTCCGTCGTATCTCTAGGCATTCATCTCGCAATCGAGCGTCATAGAACGGCCTCTTCGATTTCACCAAATACAGGGGCATCGGGAACACGCCTGATTCCACAAGCGCGTAGAACCGACTCCTCGACAAGTTCAGAGTCCGAGCCATATCTGTCATCGTGAGAACACTTCTCTGTTGGAGTGAACGACTATCTGTATACCGTGCAGACATCAGGCACCTCCCTCGCCACTTTGAGCGCTCAAAACATCTGTGCTACTGACATGCTGATTCCCCTTCGGCGTCAGACATCGCCCTCGGTCATTTCTCTCGATGAGACCGAGCCAGAGAAGATTGGGTTCAATGACCCTACTTACAGCATCCGCTGGCTGCCCAAGTCGGCTTGCAATCACCGAGAGCCGAACTGGGCGTTGGCTTTGGTGGAGTATGTTGAGATACTCCCTCGCATCAGGATCTAAACCGACGTTGTCGATCTCTTCGAGTATGAATGCTTGCTCAGCGTGAACTGACTTGATTGATGACTCGCCCTCTGCCCGACCTGACCTGCGGATTGATTCAAGCAATCTCAACGCAAGCCGTGGCGTACCAAAGCTTCTCTCACCCACGGCTTCGAGTACATCATCGTGAATATCCCATCCAAGCTGCTGGCACCTTTGCTTGAGAATCATGGCTAAATCTTGAGCGGTATAGCGGCGAAGCTGACAGACGAGTTTCATTCTGTCACGCAGCGGCGGCAGTAACCCCTGCGGGTCGGTCGTGGCAAGAATCAGCGTAAAGGGCTTGAGCGGCAACTTCTGAACAGTCTGCCTCTGTGCGTTGCCAATGAATACGCATCGTTCATCAAGCGCCTTGTACAAGGCTACCTGAATCGATGGGTCGATTTCATGAGCCTCATCAATCAGGATGACCGAGTTCGGCTGAGATGGTGTCATCAGCAAACCATTCAGCACACCACTAAAGATTGATTGCCCAAGGACTTCGTGAAACTCTCCCGCCATCTCTTTAGCGAGTACCTTCCCCAATAATGTCTTACCCGTACCGGGAGGACCAGTCAGGAGAGTGTGCGGCAACGGATCACCGTCAGCAAATGCCGCTTCGACTCCTACTTTGAGTTTCCGAACTACCTGCGGTTGCCCGATTACATGGTCCAATGTCGGTGGTGATTGGTCATTGGTTGATTGTGTTTCTTGCGTCATGGTGAACCTCCACCCACTGACGCCATGGATCTATCGCATGTGAATAGGCCTCAATGAGCACTCACACTCTGTTGCCGGTACCCAAAGTCAAGCCCGAGACCTCGCAATAGCGTCTGGTGCATCACCAGAGCCGATTAAACTTTGCAGTAAGGAGCAAACAGCGGCATATTGGCTACAAGTGCCGGCACTTTTCTAGATGCATCAGTGAGCCGTGAGTTGGGGTGAGTTTGATTTCTCCTAGTGGTTTCACGCTGAGAAAAAGATAAATCTGAGCGTTATAGAGTCGAACGTGCAGCACATTCCATGCACCGATCTTCTGCCTCAACAACAGCGAGAGAACATCTCCCGCATCCATTCTCGCTACTGATTCAGTTGTTTCCATCGCTTCAAGAGGTATCGCCCGGTGTCTCTGAGTTCAGGGTCCACTTTGGAGTACACTCTGCTGTTCACCTTCAGGCCGAGCGTCGTCAGCATCTTGTCAAGATTTGAGCGCCCATTGGCCAACTGCACTTTGGTAGCCTTACAGCTTCTCGCACAAGCATGATCTGTCATGCGAAGCATTAGACGTGCCCAATGACGGGCTTTCTCGACATTGAGAGTCGATGAAGCATATCGGTACTCAATCCGAGGATGAACGCCCCACATATGCCTCCAGTTCGTCCCTGATTCTCTGGGAAGCTGCTGGAGTTCATTCTTGAAGCAGGACATGGTTCGACAGTTTGCGAGGCGGCTGGGCATATCTGGGAGCCTCCTGCAATAATTGTTGCCGTTTCTGCTCGGAGGCACGAGACCATAAATCAGGTTCTCATTCCGATGAAGAGTGTTATACAGAGAACGGATAACGGCAGGTCGTTCTCTAGCCTCGATCAGTTCTACATGAACATGATGGCCACACGAACTATTGACCCTGGCTCCTAGGTATCGGAGGATGTCGAGCATCTTTGGCACAACCCATTCCCAATCATCCATCCCGCAAAGCACCCTGGTCTTAACCTCGATCGATATCCATCTGATTCCACGATATCGAGATTCGCCCCGCACCGATGAGTCATACTCGACACAGACATCAGCCCCATCAGGCACAGGTCGATGGCTGTACCCACGAGCAACGGCGGGTACACCATTGGCTGATAGCACTTCAGCAATGAGTTTGCGGACATCATTCGACTCCCCACTTCCGACTAGCGGTACGGCAATCTCAAACTCGCATCCCAATCGGCGACTATTTCGATTCAGTTCTGATGACAGCATCGCAACTCCCAGCGTCGGGATCATTCCCGATATGGGTTGCTGCGATATGTCTTGGGCATGTGAATGTATGGAGGGGGATACCCACACCTCTCCCCCAATTTCTTTCCAAGGGACTCCTAGCCATTTTGGAGCCTCAAGGATGGGTTCCCAACCGCTAGATGTCAGGCATCAATTCAGACGGCTGAACCTCTAGTGCCTTTGCCAACGCCTCAATCGTTTCGATTCGGACAGACCTCTTTGCTGTCTCAATCAAGCTGATATGGGTTCTATGAAGCCCTGCCTCAAAAGCCAGGTCTTCTTGAGAGAACTCCCGCTCCTCTCGGAGTTCCCGAACTCGTCTCCCAAACTTGATTGCGTACTGGCTCCGTGTCACCAGATCAGTGTCTGGCATCTGTAGACTAATCGACAACAGACAATGCGAAACACATATCCTAGAATCTGATCAGCTTGGAGGCTGATCAATGACTAGCACAGACGACCCGAACAGCCGTAGATTGACCACGAAGCGGTTTCTCGTGAGATTCCAGAATGGTGATGAGGCTGGGCCGTTCGGCGCTGCTGAACTCAAATCACTCGCTGAATCTGGCAATCTCGAACGTGAAGACCATGTCTCTGTTGAAGGAACGAACCGGTGGGTAAAAGCCAATCAAGTACAAGGCCTGTTTGATCCTGATAGCCCGAATACACAGGCATCATCATCAACATCTGACTCCACCGAAGTGAAGAAGAAAGAGCCGAGTAAAACAGAAACAATCCTTGGATGTGGACTCATAGTTGGAATAGCGGCTGTTGTTATTCTCGCTGCATGGATGGCATTTTCATGGTTAAACAACAGCCCCGAATCAACCGTGAAGGAGTTCATGGCAGCTTGGGAATCTTCGTCATCCAGTGCTGTGCTAGAACTTGACAGCCGAGCTATTCAACCTGTGAAGCGTTTGTTGAGGGAGTTCCCTGTGCACACATTCGACGGCGATATCTATAGCCTTGGTGACAACAGTCTCATTAACCGAACAACGGGCGAAACTATTAGCACTCAGGATTTTCGTGTACAACCCGTGATTCGCTTCGGATCGAGCTACGACCAGCAACGCTTCAAAGTATCGGTAGCCGAAGACAGCGGTAAGGTGATCTTGGTTGAGCCTTGGCGATAGTTGCTTATTTTGAGCGCTCAAATGCCCTTTCAGAAGTAGAAAAGGCTTTCCAGACACTGTCCGATGACCACTAAGACGGGCATCTGGAGCTATTAGCTTCGTGACTAAAACTTCCCGCAGTTTTCTTCACCCGCAAGCCGATTTTGGCATTCAGTACAATCCATGTTCAACGCCAAGCAAGAAGGCATGAACAATGAGAATGTACAGCATCAAAACCCGATTCGAGAGCTACTCAGCGACCTCAGTGTTTGCTCGCCGCCGCAAGAAGAACTTGTGGGCCTTGAGTCGGAGCACCATCATCCAAACCCAGACTCTATCTGAGTCTGCCTGCTCAATACCAATAGGCCATTTCACCACTGCTGAAGAGTGGCCATGACTGGGTGCCCCCCAGCCATTCCTTGCATCTCATGGGAATTACTAGAAACCCTCACCAGACCTCTCTCAGAAACTGACGAAACAGGCACTCTACAAATTGGCCACCCCTCAGTGGAATCCATGAGTGCCCAAAGCATCCATCATTTATAGAGGTAGCGAATTCGCATCCAATGCGTCTGAGCTATCGGTGTGCGCCTGTTTCTGAATCAGTCTCGAATGGCCATAATCCGCCCAGTATGGGCCAAATCACTCATCTGCGTCAACCTTTCCAATCGGGATAGTGCCTGAGATGGAGATTTGAGCGCTCAAAACTCAGCATCTGTTGATGTCTTCATGCATGGGTGCCATGAACCGGCACGGTACCCAGCGAAAATTGAATCCCCGGTATACTGCCAGCAGGAATGCTGGAGAACTAGGAGTATTTATCATGGCGAAGAAAGCCAATCAAGAGGCCAGAATCCTCGAACTCTGTGAAGAGATCGACACTCTTCTTTCCGTAAATGACTCCGGCGCTTGGAAGGCTGGCGACTTGTTGGTTGAAGTCTCAGCGATCAAATTGAGCGGCAAGGAACTTACCCTCAAGCAACTAAGCGAACGCTACTTACCCAAATGGAAACCTGCCTA